TATCTATTATATATAAATAATTTTTATATTAATATTTTAATATAAAATATCTATTATATATGTATAAATAATTGTGATATAATATAAGATAGAGTATCACAATTAAAATTTATCAATTATTAAAATAATTATGTAGATTGTATCATAATTAATGGGTCAGTCATTTTATAAATTACCCTTAATAACATTCTTGCGAGACTTTCGCGCAGCTTCCTCAATTGGTATCCCGTTAACCGTTTCAGCAAACAGATCGTCAACTTGCAAAACTTGTATATAGAAATCGTCAAAGGTCTGATTCGTTGTCGTTGTCATAAGTTTATCAGCGGGAATACCATTCAACATCTCCGTCGTAAGATTCATAATATCCAACGAGTTTTTGTACGTGATTGTACCTGCAATAAAAGTTCCGTCAATACATTTTTTAAATCGATTTCTATAGCGTTAAATGACAGAATAATAAGTTGTTATTTGTTCAACCTTGAATTTTCTGAGTATGGTTAATGCGGAATAAATCATCAATCAATTGATCAACGATTGTCCCGTTCAAGCTTTTAATTTTCAACCTTGGTACTGTCAAATCGGAATGTAATATAACAGTGTCGTTTGAATATTCGATGGAGTTATTTGCAGCAAACCTGATTCCTTCATCCTTTTGTAACATCCAGTCTGCAACGCATTATTTACATATTAGAACAAAAAAAAAAAAACATGAAAAAAGAAAAAAAAATATATATATGAGATAAATTATAAAAATTGTTCAGTTTTTATTCTAACTTACATTGGGCTGGCATTCCACAGAGAGATTCAACTTCAAGTTCGTGTATAATGATACTTTTCCCTTGCAACGGATATGTAAAGTTTTGATTGCCTTCCGAGAGAATTATCTTCTTCGAATGCATCTCCATGTCGTTTACGAAATCGACGTGTACTTGATCGATCTCCAACTCTTCTACATATGCATCGTCGATGGTGATCGTGTCTTCCGATGTTTCCAACGCAATTGTGCTCATTTCTTTTTGCCACTTCATTAGTCCTTGTTTTACGACATCGTGGATACTGTGATTAAGTTTGTCCAGAGATTTTTCAATCTGATGTGGTGGTAAAATGTCTTCTTCAGTCACAATCTCGATGCTCTCCACTGTGCCGGATTGCAAGTTCAAATTATCGAACTTTACTGGTTCCGAGATCGTCAAGTTCTGCGCGGACGGTAAGAGAAATTTCCAAGAAGCCTCGGCTTCCTTTATAGCCGGCATTCTTGCTTGCAACATTTCGATCAGATCCGACAAACATCTTCTTGTTACATCAACATCTTCTACAGCGTTATCTGTGATAGAGAAATTTCATTTAAAATTTTTTTCTATCGCTTTTCGAATTTTTGTTCCATAAATCTTAAAACTTGAAATGTTTACAACAATGTAAATATAATATATAAAAGGCATTAAAATTTTAAATAAGTCGTTTAATATGTGTGTGTATAGACCGATAACTATAAAAAGATTAATTAAAGAAATAGATTTTAAGAATGAAATTTCAACATTCTTAATTCTACAAAGTACAATAAAAAAATATTAAAGTAATATAAGATGGATATAATGTAAGCTTATTTTTATATTAGTTGCTTCTTCGTGCGATGAATGAAAAAGTTCGCAATTACAATTATTTACCGCTTGGTATAGAAGTCATTTCAGCCTGCCACTGTTCCACCCAGTATACATTCTTTTCCTCAATAATCAATATTACAGTCATCGTATAATTATTCATCGATATCATCATATCGATTATCTTTTGGCTATCTTTGAACCGTTTAATGTTTTCACTTTTCCAATCCGATGTACTATGAAATTTATATAACTGGATGATATTCTGTAAACACATTTGTTACAATATTATCACGTTTCGCTTTTAAAAAAAATGAGTGATTAATCTGTTATACTTACATCATGTGCCACAACTATAAAAGTATCGCCGTCTATGTAGAAGATACTCATCAAACTATGAGGATCAATCTCGGAAAGACTAAACCAATTCAATAGCTCCTGTCCTAGAATGCAATATGTTTCAATTAATGTTTTATTGGAAAGAACAAAAAAAGATTTATATTTTCAGGAGAAATACACCAACCATCCCAGCAGAGAACGTTTAGCCCTAACTCGTTTATCATTAAGACGAAGTTGAAGCCGCTATGGACATAGTGATGCATCGAAACCGGTCGCGCGGTGGATAAAAATTGTATCCTCGCGATGTCACCGTCTTTGAACTCGTACACCTCGGAACCGATCCGCGGGTTCTCGGCGTCGTACTGCGCAAACACGATAATCGTCGATCGCCGTTGCTCAAAGGCGGTGACCGATATCGTGCCGGTTGTCATCACCTCGTCGACTACGTCCATGTATGTACCGCTCCATCGATAAATACTACAATTCGATAGAAGATTGTGAAAAAAATAATTAAAAATCCAAAAAAATTTAATCTCGGAGAGCACACATTTGCTATCATATAAAAAACAGTTACATATAAATATAAAATATAAAACAGTTACAAACGAGGAATTTATATATAGTATAATTTATATATAGGAATTTATATTAACATAATATATTATATTTATCATATAAAAACAGTTATATTTAAAATATAAAATATATTATATTGAAATTAATTGAGAAATTAATTGAGTTGTAAGAGACTCACATGGATGGCACAGAAAATTTGCCAGCATAATTGGCGATGATCAGATGGAGATGATCGTCCTGTGTGAAAAATTTAGCATCTACGGGGATCCCTCTGTGTCCGATAGTGTGGCGGAATCGCAACGTGTCTTCTCGCGTTGCCGTATAAAGACTACACAAATCGGGCTCGTAACATAGTAATAGATAGATGGTATCTTTCCACACAATGCTCTGCAATTAGAACGATTCGTTGTTTAAATTATGATAATTAATTTTATATTTTAAAATCAAAAATAAATAAGTAAGATAAAAAGATTATCAATCAATCAATGAAATTTACAGAGAATAATTATAACACATGCATATATCTATTTATTATATATTTATTTATACTATAAATAATTTTTTATATGTCTATTATACTTAATTTCAATTTAAATAATCGATAAGATAATATAATCACAATTAGCAATATTTCCAGCTTATACAGGGTGTTCCAGATCAGGTCAATGAAACTTCAGGATCTTCATATAAAAACAGTTATATTTAAAATATAAAATATATTATATTGAAATTAATTGAGAAATTAATTGAGTTGTAAGAGACTCACATGGATGGCACAGAAAATTTGCCAGCATAATTGGCGATGATCAGATGGAGATGATCGTCCTGTGTGAAAAATTTAGCATCTACGGGGATCCCTCTGTGTCCGATAGTGTGGCGGAATCGCAACGTGTCTTCTCGCGTTGCCGTATAAAGACTACACAAATCGGGCTCGTAACATAGTAATAGATAGATGGTATCTTTCCACACAATGCTCTGCAATTAGAACGATTCGTTGTTTAAATTATGATAATTAATTTTATATAAATAAAAAAATTAATATATTATAAATATAATACATACGTATTATATAAATATGAAAATGTGTACGAATATAAGATATAAAGATAATAAATATGTAGAAAACATATATAATTATCAAAAAATATTTTATATGAAAGATGTGACATATATAAAAAATTGAAATTATATCGATATTGATATTATTATTAAAAATTGAAATTATATCGATATTGATATTATTATTAAAGATGATTAAAGTACCCTGACAAATTTAACGGCGGAGTGCTCCCCGATCCTATCAACCTGGCGTAACCCCTCGTAGGTTTCGTTCCAAGAAGTCTTGTTAAGAAAGGGTGCCATCACGCGATTGCCATCGAGGATGAATGTCTTATTAAACATATTTATCGCGAATGGCCGATCCTCATTCGTTAGAGGCACTCGCCATGATCTATCCCATTGTACTTTATACAATTTTTCCTGCACTGCAAAGAGAGTTTGGTATCTTATCACTCGACAGAAAAATGATTTCTATTTGACAATGAGTAAGTAATACACTATTGTATATATTTAATCTGCATATATATTTGAAAATAAATGATTAAAAAAGTAGATTTTTAATATAATTAATTTTGAGAAAAATTTCTTTGAAAATATATTCTATTTAAATTAATCCTATTTTAATTGATCCTATTTATCCTATTTAAATTAAATTCATTGCATAAACTTACCCGGCGATGTTTCCTGAATGTGAATCTTAATAAATTCTATCTTAGATTGCCGCAATTTCTCGTATAGATATTCGTCCACATTTGTCGCGTTTACACAAAAGAACTGGATAAATAAATAATAGCTTGCCACCTATAACATAATAAATATTAAAAGAATGTAAATTTCTTTACATTTTATCGTTCACTGTATTCATATTAGAAACGATAATGATACTCACAAATAGAAAAAAGAGTTTCATGGTTTTATGATTTCAATTACGATATCACCATTCACCAGCAAAGGCCGTGCGAACATTGAGAGATTTCGGAAACAGTCTGCGATATTTGAGTGACCTTCTTAACACATTGTATACAAAGAATGAGTATAAATACGATATATATATAAACGTAAATATGCCAAATATATACACACAGATAAATCAATAATATGAGATAGAGCTACAAATATCAATGTTTATGCTCATTTCTTCAATTTAAAATCAAAAATAAATAAGTAAGATAAAAAGATTATCAATCAATCAATGAAATTTACAGAGAATAATTATAACACATGCATATATCTATTTATTATATATTTATTTATACTATAAATAATTTTTTATATGTCTATTATACTTAATTTCAATTTAAATAATCGATAAGATAATATAATCACAATTAGCAATATTTCCAGCTTATACAGGGTGTTCCAGATCAGGTCAATGAAACTTCAGGATCTTATTAAGAAATTGAATTTGAAACAAAAAATTTCCGATAAACATAGGTCCGGAAACGTTTCGTTAAAAAATTATAGCTAATAAATTTCGAAAAAACACGTTTTTTTGATGATTTTTAAAAATAATTTCAAAACCCTTCATTCATTTGAAAAAAATAACAAAATAAATCTGATGAGTAATTAAATAACGAACTAAATTACACCAATTTCTTTAATTCTAATAAGGCGTTCAAAAGAAAATAAGTTCAAAACAACGAAAAAGCAGAAAGCTTGAAAAAACCAACTTTCAATGGTCTTTGTGTAAACACTACATTCGTAGTGCAAACATTGCGAATGCAAACATAAAAATGTTCTTATTAAATTTTAATCATAATTAATTACTTACAGAGAGTTTATTAGCAACTTTTTAACGAAGCGGTTCTAGACCTAAGTTTATAGAAACTTTTTTGTTCCAAATTCAATTTCCTATAAGATCCTAAAGTTTCATTGACCTGATCTCTGGAACATCTTATATATTTCATGTCCCATTATTAAAAAAGCATAGATTGAAACGGACATATATAATTACTGCAAGTTTATTGCTTGATAAATTACAGTGGTGTTTCGATAGATTTTGAGTTTCGCGATCAATCACAAAATATATCATCGGATTATTGACATTCAAATCACTTTATATTCTGTTTGGCTAAACATTTCAAAGGATAAAATAAGCCTTATAAAAGTCTTAAGCTCATATAAAAATATTCAATCAATTAAAAACTTCGAATCAAGAAATTTAAAAAATACGTTTTTATTGCGCTATTTTTTCTTTAATAATCAATTGCGAGTCTTTTCAATATTTTGGTTTTTATACTTTTTATAATTTATATTATTTTTTATAATTTGAGCACTATACCAGTAGTTGATCACTATACTAGTAGTTTCTGATTATTGCTAGTGTCGATCTCTTCGTTTTCCCTTCTTTTCTGATCTTTTTTATGTGTGTGAATTAAAAATTGTATGTGAATTAGGAAAATTTATTGTACTTGGCACGTTTTCCGAAGCTATAAAAAATTATACCACTGTTACTATAATAGTCATCTGAATTATTGTATTGTATGTGAAAAGAATTGTGAATACACAAATGCAATCATGTATAAATGTGTGTATGTAAACTTATTAAATACAAATAGAAAACAATTTATTTTTTACAAAATTTATTAGTATATTAAATTTCGATTTTCTTCACAAGTATAGAAGATATATTCAAATTACTATTGGATCTTCCCCTTACCGTGATCCTCTTTCATACCATATATAATTCTTTGAAGAGAAATCTTCTGATTTGTGCTCTGAACAATTTCAATGTAAAACTATATGATATATTAATTCTTGAAATAATAGTTTTCATAAAAATAAATACCAATACTCTAAAAACATCTGGGAGAAGGAGAGAGAAAGGACTAATCCGCATATAAAACGCAACAGATTCTCCTTCAGACTTCCCCTGCATTCTAATCAATACATTCGTATTCGAACATCGCCATCGATCGAAACGAGACGTAGATCGGGCGTTTCGAATACCAATCTACATTCTGCATATGACAGACGCGAGCGACACGCGGAAGCGTGCGCATGCGCGGTAGCTGGCGTCGAGCGTTTCGATTGGCCGCGCGGCTGATGTACACGTGACGCGTTGACCAATCGCCGGCGCGATCCGATTCAACAACGGCGACTTGCGCGACCTAGTTGCGACTTTAATTACTACGCGCTAGCGTCGTGCGATACGATTCATCGCTCGCACGCCGCTATCAGCCACCGAAGCGGAGACGCGAGAGCGATCAGTTTATCCAGGTTTACCCTGAACGCCGGGTTCTCTCGTTCGCGTCATCATCCTAGCGTTCTCGTCATCCCGTTTAAGGAAACGCCGTTCCTCCTCGTGAACGTCGACGCGCCGGGAATTCGACGCCGCGAGAACGCATCCGCGCAGCTGCGTGCGCGATCGAGAGCACGCACGCGCGCCTGTCATGTGTAAGTGTATTGTATGAGCGTGGATCGTCGGGCGTTCTCGCGTACGTGTATGCGAGCGCGACCGCGTGCGGGCGGTTCCCACACGACGTCGTCCGTGCAACAAGTGTCAAGAGGAGTAGGAGGCGGCGGCGGCAGCGGCGGTGGTTCCTTCAACTGTGCGGTGGTGTGGAATACTTGGTGCATGGTGCTGGTGGATCGGTGTGAGTGACGGATCGGTTGGACGGCTCGCGACGATCTCACCATCAACACCATCGTCATCATCGTTATCGTCATCACGACGTGCTGAAAGGATTCGTCACCGGCGAGGGCGCGGGATGGGCTGCGCCGTGAGCACCACCGGCGAGAAGGAGGCCGCCGAGCGATCCAAAAAGATCGACAAGGACCTCCGCGCTGATGGCGAGCGAACCGCCAGCGAGGTCAAGCTCCTGCTGCTCGGTAAATGCCCTTTCCCTTCGAACCCGGTGACTTCCGATACCTCGTACCCGATACGTCTCACTCGTGCAGGACGGGACGAGGACGGATGTAACGCCGTGATCCCGCTTTTTCGGTTCCGCTTCTCGGAAGACGATGGCAAATTTGCATCCCCTACTCGATGGCGATCTCTCTCTCTCTCTCTTTCTTTCATTTTCTCTCTTTCTACTCGCACCTCGCCTTGTATCGTGTATTGGACGTACGCTCGCCGAACGCTCCCGAAGGCGCCGCGTAAACCATGATCCATAGAATTAGTCCGTTCCTCTTATCGTTAGCTACGCTCTCCGCTTACATTCTCGAGTAGCTTTTCCATTCTCCTACTCTTCCAAAAGACAATCGCAAATATATCCTTCTTTCGTTTAAAGTAGAGAGTAACATAGTGTAACAGATTAATTATTTTAGACCCTATTATTTAATATTCGCTTTATATAAATATACATAAATATTCCTTGACATTATTATATATTAAATAAATTCTTGGCTTAGTATTTTTTCATGAAATATAATGTTTTTAATTCGTTTTCCCTTCTCGATACGAATCTGTTGCAATCAACGGTGTGTACGTTGATGGCACGCGAGATCGCTTCGAGAGATTCTGTGTTTCTTCCGCGACTGTAGATCCTACTCAATTTAGTAATATCTTTTATATATATTTTGTACTTTTCTCTTTTTCTCCTTCCAAGAATCGCTGAATATATTTCACTCTGGGATTCTGCGTACAAGAATTCTGTGTCAAGAAAGAACTCTAACTTTTCGTGAGTCATGAACTTATGTTTGTACAGGAAAAAGGAGCTGTAAACGCGTGTGGTTTATAAGAAAGGTGGCCCTAATTCAAGCGAAGAGCGCTTTCCTAACGTTTCGCGGTGACACGGTGTCTTTCGGATAATACGCTTTCGCGATTGCATGAATTCTGCGGTATCCTTTTTCGCGAGCGCTTCTCGAAATGTATGTGTATATGTGTGTCATGTTTCACGTCTTCTACATTATATTTGTGAAAATCTAAAAATTAGTTATTTTAATTTGCACAAAATAATATTATTTTAAAACGTAAAAATCTGTTTTATACATTATTTTAATTCTGTAAAATATATATATATATATTCTACAAACTATTTTAATTGTGTAAAATATATCCTACAAAAATAATGTAGTATCAAAAATAGCGCCAACTGAAAAAAATAAACGCATATATTGACTAAAAATATTTTAATCAAAAGAATTTAGTACAAAATAGTTATCTAATTTCCTATGTACGTGTATATGTGTGTCATATTTCACGTCTTCTACATTCTACATTATAAAACATAGACACGCTTGTGAAGGCAAAATTGCTTTCGTTATTTTGTTCATCACAACTGCGATTTAACTGTTTCTTCGCGAGAGAGAGAGAGAGAGAGAGAGAGAGAGAGAGAGAGAATGGGTTTTCTTAAAAAGAAGTTACGCAGCGTCCCAAAGCTATTAAGTCATCCTATTAACTATAGAGAGTCATAAAATTATGTATATATCTATATATTTTGTATTTAAAATATTGCAAAATTGGAATATATTTTTTAAATCCATGATTAAATTTATTTGGTGCCATGGTTTTGAAAAAATTGGAATTACTTAAACTATATGAAATATGTAAATATTTTTTCAATATATGATATATTTCTGAATTTGAATTAAAGATTTTTGAATTTTAATTAATCACTAAATATTAGATATTTAATATTGATCATTCGATATTATATATCTTGACAATAATGAGTGATTTAATATTGCTTAATATTGTCAATCGAAGAATTTCAAAATTTTTGACAAGTTTTGATCGAGAATGTGCAAAGACGCGAATGAATAGAACGCGTGCAACGTTACGGGAAACTTGAATCATCGGCCGCGTGTGAATCACGAGATTACGTCTCTCCAAGAGACATAATATATATATCTTCGTCTCACTTAGGGAAAAAATATTGTTCTTCCTCGAACGAGAACGAGTGGTCTCCGACAGGATGACTGGCTAAATCGCGAATCAATCGAACGAAACTTTACACAATGGAAAGGCCGATGATTAATCGGTTAATTGAATTCGTTTGTACGACTTAGCAAAATATCTCAAGTGCGAGTGTATTTGTATAGATTCACATTGATTAAAAAATAGCTGTCAGTCATACGTCAAATAAATATTAACATTGTATGATGTGGTAACAATTTTAATTATTATGTCAAGGAAGGCTTGCAACTTTCTCGATCATATGACACTCTTACTCGAGCAATAATCTCATTTACATAATCCAACAATTATTATCACTACATATATATACTTGCAATGATAATTTATTTAATATGTAACATATATATTTAATGTGTTAAAATTCAAGGTGCTGGCGAGTCTGGCAAGTCCACGATAGTGAAACAAATGAAAATCATTCACGAGACGGGCTACAGTAGAGAGGAATGTGAGCAGTACACAAAAGTAGTATACAGCAATACAATACAGAGTCTAATGACAATAATAAGAGCTATGGGGGAGCTTAGGATTGATTTTGCTGATCCCAATAAAGCGGTAAAGTTTTTATATCTTTCTATTAAATTGATGCAAAAGATTTATCGTATACATAAAACTTATCAATAGTTTTATTTGAAACAAAATTTGAGAGGGAGACGATAAATCTTTTTGCATCAACACTCGACAACATTGCTCATTATCAATGGCACTTTATTCGTGCCCCACTGACATTAGGTAATATCGGCCTTGTGTTTGCGTTGTAGGATATGGCGCGACAATTTTTCACCCTCGCATCGGCGGCAGAGGAAGGTGAACTAACAGGGGATCTAGCGTTATTAATGAAACGATTATGGCAGGACGCGGGAGTGCAGCTTTGTTTCACGCGTAACAGAGAATACCTGCTCAACGATTCGGCAGCGTACTATCTTAACGCACTTGACCGCATATCGCAACACAATTACATCCCGACACAGCAGGATGTTCTGCGGACGCGTGTCAAAACTACGGGAATCGTGGAGACGCATTTTTCCTTCAAGGGTCTACACTTCAAGTATGTTCGACGTGTACTTCATTTATTACTCAAAGATATTTATATAATTTGTCTTAATCTAGTATTATGTTAATTGATGATATTGAGTCATTCATTGAATCATTTCTAAACACGTGCGCGTCAAAAAGTTTTTACAAAAAAC